CAAAAAAAAAAAAAAAAAGGTTATAACCTGTCCTGATTCTTAATCATTTGTTTTTCTTTGTAGTTTTATCACTTACATATATATTCTCAGAAAATCAAAATATATATATATATATATATATATATGGAGGTGATCAACTATGGAGGTCCCACGTATTCTAAGTTTCCTTAATTCATACCAGGACTGGCACTCTTCTGTGATTCGGGCAGTCTAAGCTTTTAAGAGTCTTCGATATTCTTTCTCTCTTTCAGAAGAAGCTCCGTCTACAGCCTCCTCTACCCCTGATTCCACAGAAGGTAAGTGAGTGAGGAGGAGGTGAGGGTGTCACTGCTAGGCAGGTCAGGGTTCTTCTCAGAGAAGCTTGTAATGGCTCTCCACCCACTGCAGGAGGGAACGACGACTCAGATTTTCGGGACCTGCACACAGCCCGGGAATTCTCGGAGGACGAGGAGGAGGAGACTACTTCGCAGGACTGGGGTACCCCCCGGGAGCTGACCTTCTCCTACATAGCTTTCGATGGTATAGTGGGCTCCGGGGGACGCAGGGATTCAGCAGCCCGACGCCCCCGTCCCCAGGGCCGCTCAGTCTCAGAACCACGAGATCCTCACCCTCAGCCCGGACTAGGAGACAGCTTGGAGAGCATCCCCAGCCTGAGCCAATCCCCGGAGCCTGGACGCCGCGGTGACTCTGATACCGCTCCTCCGGCTGAGCGTCCCCTGGAGGACCTGAGGCTCGGGCTGGACCAGCTGGGCTGGGCGGCCCGGGGAGCAGGATCTGGGGAAGACTCAGCCACCAGTAGCTCCACCCCTCTGGAAGACGAGGAACCCAACGGATTGGAGGCTGCAGAAATTGGGGAAGGTGAGATGTCCTAAATGCTGGGACCAAAGCCAAGAGGGGTGGGTGGTCTTTCTTCAGGGCACTTCCAAGGAGAAAGCTAATGGCCTTCTCTCTCTACTACACCAGCACTGGACCTACATCTTCCACTTGCTCAGTCCTCACAACCAGAGGTCTTTACTCCCCAGTTCAGTCCGAGCTCTGGGACCCCCCAGGCAGCTACCCCGTCCCCACCTGGATCTCGAGATTCGAACTCTGGTCCTGATGAGCACTCACTGGAAGTTGAAGAACGGCTGTGGGAGCCCTTGGAGCGGGAGTCAATCTGGGGACAGTGCCTGGATAGAACAGCCCAATCAACATTCACTTTGGGGCCACCCCTTCTAGGTAAGCAACCTAATTCCACAGGACTACAGCGAGGTAAACGGTGTGAGGATTGGAATTTGAAGGCACCAACCTTGCAAAGGAACAGAGGATAGTGGAGAAAGGAAGAGGTATTGTTATTGTCTAAACATCATAAACTCCGGCCTTTTAAAATATTTCCTGTTATACGAGATTACAATTGGCTTTTTCTATGTTGGTTCCTCCGCCCACTTGAGAGTTAGCCCTTCTTCAAGCTTTGTGATTGGCCAATTGCTAATAAAATAATCCTCCCTCTTTGGAGTGCTCCCTCTAGAGGTTGATTTTGTATAGGCGAAATCCCTGAAAAACTAAGGTTTTCTCCTACGTGTGGCCGTGAGACATTTGCAAGTAAGCTGTATGCTTTTTAAAGCTCTTCTTTTCCTTGATTACATCTATCGGCCAGTTGTAAAGAGACCAGCCTTACTGGTCTTTAAAATGTGCTCCGCCCCCAGGAATGCCAAGGGTTGGTCATAGACATTGCTGGTTTTGGGCTGTTTACTAGAGTTCCAATTTTGGAAATGTCCCCACCTCTATGGACAGCCATTGGCTGGGTACATAGGGGACCCGCCTCCCTACTCCCTTCCTCTGGGTTCCACTGAAGTGGGCAAAATCCCCGAGAAGCAGCAGTGTCCGTAACCTCTCACTCGGAGCCGAGATGGGGAGTAAAGGTGGGCTTGCGGGGCCAGCTGGACTCGGGCTAGGGGACGGCGGAAAGGGTTCAAATTCTCCTTATCTCCCTGAAATCTGGAACATATGTCCTGTTGGTCTGATTCCCCAGTGCTGCAGGCTGGGGCTGGGGGGTTGCTGGGGCGTCTAGGGAGGGTGAGGAGCGAGCGTGGGGTCCCCTCTCCTACGAGCCAAGGCTTTGGGGGCCAGGAACACGGAGGCCCCCTCCCCCAGCCTTGAGCCCAGGCGGCGCTGTCACTCAGAGGCTGGATGGGCCAGCGCAGCTGCTGGGTGAGGCCCCCTCCCCCCAGCGTGCCTAAACTTAGCCCCCGCCTCAGGCGACCCGGCCCCTCCCCCACTCACTGGCGCCGGCCCCCTTGAGCCTGTTGCAGGGGCCCCCCTGCCTTACTCAGAGGTAAATGGGACATGAGCATGAGCGTACCGAAACGAGTAAGGGCAGCCTCAGAGCGGAGTGGGTGGGATGGTTCTGTTTGATTGCGGGGAGAGTGGGAGAACAGAGAAGATATGGGAAGATATAGGAAGGTATTGAGCTTCTGAGTCAGGACTCACATGGGCGCGGATTTTAAAATGTTTAGATGGATGAGATGAAACGCTGGGGTCCAGAGGTTAGGGGTCGCGGTTCAGATTGGGCTTGGGAGATGAGTTTAGGGTCTCAAAAAGGGGCAGAAATTTGAATTAGGGCTTAAAAAGGAATATGGTGTATTAATACACCTAAAGATATAGAAAAGATATCCTAAAGATATAGAAAAATGTGTTTGTAAGGGTATTAAGGAGATATAACTTTATCCCTATTGGGTTGGCAAAAGTTTAAAAACAATAATAATAGTAAGCACTCTGACAAAGTTTATGACATTAAAAAATACATAACTAGTCCACCTAGCAATTCCAACCCTGGAAAATAGAAGCTGCAGGAAGTAAGAATATCTGTAAAAGAGTGTTGCTTGCAGCACTCTTAGGAGAGGAGTTAGGCAACAAAGCGAATGACCCACCAACAGGTCCATGGCTGAATAAAATGAATGATGGCACAGCCACACTGCACAATAACATGTATTCTTTTTTTTTTTTTTTTGAGACAGAGCCTCAAGCTGAGCCCCTGGGTAGAGTGCCATGGCTTCACTGCTCACAGCAACCTCCAACTCCTGGGCTCAACCGGTCTCCTGCCTCAGCCTCCCAAGTAGCTGGGACCACAGGCGCCCACCACAATGCCCAGCTATTTTTTGGTTGCAGCCATTATTGTTGTTTGGCGGGTCCGGGCTGGATTCGAACCTGCCACCTTAGGTGTATGTGGCTGGTGCCTTAGCCGCTTGAGCCACAGGCGCAGAGCCAATAACATGTATTCTTAAAAAGAATGAATTAAGAGCTATTCCTGGGCTGCGCCTGTGGCTCAAAAGGGTAGGGTGCAGGTCCCATATGCTGGAGGTGGTGGGTTCAAACCCAGCCCCTGCAAAAAACAAAACAAAAAAAAAGAGCTATTCCTAGAAGGAATTTTAGGAGGAAAAAGGGAGTGAGACACACATGATACAGAAAAGTGTATCTATAATTCCATTTTGATAAATAAGAACCAAGAAGCATTGGTTTCTACTTTCGAGTTCATGTGTAAATCATATGGAGAGGAGGAAGATTAAGAGGTTTGCTAGATGGTTAACTTTCATTTTCCAGGAGAAGAAGGGAGACACGCAAAGAAAAAAAAAGAGGCCACTAAAAATTGGAAATAGGGTTAGGATCAAACAGGTGTGTCACGAAGTCGTGGATAAGGAAATGGGAGGTGAAGAGATCAGTGAGGTCAGGTACAGCCCCAGCCTGATGCCCCCCACCCCTCCACAGTGGCGGACCTGCTGTACTGGAAGGACACGAGGACGTCGGGAGTGGTCTTCACAGGCCTCATGGTCTCCCTCCTCTGCCTCCTGCACTTTAGCATCGTGTCTGTGGCCGCCCACGTGGCTCTGTTGCTGCTCTGCGGCACCATCTCTCTCAGGGTTTACCGCAAAGTGCTGCAGGCCGTGCACCGGGGGGATGGAGCCAACCCTTTTCAGTGAGAACCCCTGGCCCTTGACCCTAAGCCCTGTCCAGATCCCAGTGCTGACCCATGATCTCAAATCAGAGGTCTTACCCTGGCCCTGACCCATCCTCATCCTTTTTTCATCCTGATCCTCTAACTTACCCCCAACCCTAATCTCTGATCCTAATTTTGTACCTTTAATCCTTGATCTCTTCTCCTCACCTTGACCTTTAGCCCAGCTCTCTACACCTGGTTCCTTGGATGTGTCCCTCAGTCCTAATTCTGTTCTTCTACCAAACCTGCATTTCTTGCCCTCTCGTAGCCACCTCCCCAACACACACACCAAACACCATTCTGAGTTCATCACCACTAAGTCACCCCACACCCATTTTTACCCTCAGGGCTTACCTGGATGTGGACCTAACCCTGACTGGAGAGCAGACAGAACATTTATCCCAGCAGATTGCCTCCCGCTTGGTCTCTACAGCTACTCAGCTACGGCATTTCTTCCTGGTAGAAGACCTTGTGGATTCTCTCAAGGTGCCCTGAAGTGTACTCACCCCCTCCTGGGTTCCCAACATTCACCTCTGTGCCCCTAAGAGGGATGGGAGGGCCATTGCTGGGTAAATTCACAGCTTGGGAGTGCCCTTTGGGCACTACTTACCCTCTCCCTCATCCCCAGCTGGCTCTTCTATTCTACATCTTGACCTTCGTGGGTGCCATCTTCAATGGTTTGACTCTTCTCATTCTAGGTGAGCTGAGAAGGCTGTGGGGCAAGGTGGGGAGCAGGGATGTTGGGGTGTGGTGGAGGATAGGGCTTCAGATGGAGTTATTTATCTCCTGGGAGCATCCTGACATCCATCTCTGTGCCCACAGGAGTGATTGGTTTATTCACTGTCCCCCTGCTATACCGGCAGCACCAGGTGAGCCTTTGGTTGCCCACACCCCAGCAGACAGAGTGATCTGACTGCCTCCCTTCCTGAACCTGGGTTCCATCAACAAAGTCCCAGCCAGACACTGGTGTTCTGGCTGCTGTGCCCCCTTATAGAGTTAGAGTCTAACCATTAATAATACGTTTCAAGAGCTAAAGGCAGGCATTTTGACTGATGTCCCCTGACAGAGCCAGAACCCTTCTGACATACCCCAACTCACAACAGGTGGACTAACTAGTGCTCCTACCTGATGATGGATGCCATCTAAGTGGCATGTCCTAATCAGAGAGAGACAGCCTTACCGATGTCTTCTTTCTCTGACCAATCTTAAGGTTGATCAACCTTCATCCCAGCCAGAAAATAGACAGAGATTAATGTCTTCTCTCTCTGATACCACCAGAGACTGACAAACACACATTCCATTTGGAGACACACAGACTGATGCCATCTATCTCCACACATAATCTGGGTCTGATACCCATCTCAGCCGAAAACAGGCAGACTGACTGATGGCCTTACCCCTGAAACAGTGAGGGACATCACATGTCAGTCAAATTCTGGTGGGATGGCTGTTGCCCAGAACATTGACATAAGCAGAACTGATTAACATTCATCTCAACCAGAGACAGGCAGATAGACAATGGACCGACACTCCCAGGACGGCTGAGAACCAGGTGATACTCACCCTGGCAGACAGTCCTAACAGCCTCCCTCACAGAGGGGTGTCACTGAGACTCACATAATCAACTCATGCTGTGAAATAAACTAGTATTTAAGTCAATCCATGCAGGGATCCCACACAGAGGGATGGTCCCAGCAACTGACCCTACAACTAGAATCTCTCACTTCTAATGTATTTTATTAGGTTTAGAGTTGAGGGTGGAGTGGTGAGCCACTCCCCACAGCTCCTGATTTGGGGGTGAGGGGAAGCAGCAGCCTTTGTTCACCCCTTCTTGTCTCCCCAGGCCCAGATTGACCAATATGTGGGGTTGGTGAACAATCAGTTGAGCCACATCAAAGCTAAGTAAGGGAATGGAATGGAGATGGGTAGGAGGGGGCAGGTGGGAGCTTGGGGTCCTTTTCCTTCTTCACAGCCTGACCCCAGATTTCCTGGGGTCGCTGGACTGTTACTTCAAAACCTTGAAAGAACCCCTTCTCAGAGAAGGGTGAGAGATAATTCCAAAACGCCACTAGGTAGAGGGCAGGGGCAGGCTTCAGGCAGTCAGCTTGTGCCCTTTCACCCCCCAGCTCTCCCCTTAGATACCTACCTCGTTTCTTCATGACCACACTTGTTTCTTCCTCAGGATCCGAGCTAAAATCCCAGGGACAGGAACTCTTGCCTCTGCAGCAGCCACAGTCTCTGGATCTAAAGCCAAAGCCGAATGAGAAGGGTGTCCTCTGCCTTCGGGACACCTGCCCCCACCCCCAGCAGCTCTCTGTCCACCTCCACCTCCATCTCCCATCCCTTCCCAACCTATACCCTTCTGGGCCGAGCCATTTCCTGGCGGGTGTCAGAACACTCACGCTAGGGAATCTGCGCAAGTCGCCTGAGCGGCCAGGACTACGTTTCCCAAGAGGCCCTGTTTCACGAATCCAGGAAAGGCGAGGCACCTTGGCCGCGGTGCCTACTGGGACTTGTAGTTGACTAGACCGGGCATCGCCCTGAACTTCTGTAACCCCGCCGCTGGAGGCGCCGTGAAGGGTTGGTGTCTCCTGGACGCCACTAGCCCCGTCGCTGGGGCTTTGCATGGGGCCCAAGGGAGGCCTGAGCTTGGATTTACACTATAATAAAGACTCCTATGGAAAACCCAAGGCCTCAAGTATTTCCAGACCCCTCCAGCTTTTGCCTTCCTGCACTGAAAAGCACTTAAGCGATACTCCAGGAGAACCTTCCCTGTCTCTGGGGAGGAAGTCTCTGCTACCTTCTATTTAGGTTATGAAATGATTGAAGGGAAGATGGTGAGAGAGCACCCATTCCAGGGCTAGCCAAACGTTGGCAGTCACTTTCTTTGCCTTTGCTCAAATCCCACACTCTGCCTCTGTGCTAACACCTCACCTGAGCCCAGACCCATGTGTCATGTGGCCTCTGGATGCCCTCCACCCCCAAACATATGAAAACTTCTTCCTCATCCTACCTAATTTCCAACTCAGAGATGTCTCACTGCCTACATTGTCACCAGGCCAGATACCCAGATCTGGCCTGGACTCCTACTCTCTCACCTCCCACATTGAATCAGTCACGAAGTCATGTTTATTCTACCTTATAAATGTCTTTCATCCACCCACTTCTCTCCATCTCAACTACCTTGGGGCCAAGTACAGGGCTCAGTGGCCCCTCTGCTCCTCAGCTTCCAAAATCATAAGCTGGGTCATAAGCTGAAGTCTAAAGATCCACAGACCTGGGTTTGAATCCCAGCTTTGAATCCCGGCTCTACTACCTCTTGGCTGCGTGACCTTGAACAAATAACTTCACCTCTCAAAGCCTCAGTTTCCTCAAATGAAAAATTGCCACCATAATTATACCTACATATAAGACCCTTAGCACAGACACAGGACCTGGTACACAATACATCATGGTTATGACATTATTTCCCAAACTTCAGTCCTTCCCTCATAACTTTCCACTATTTACCAAACACTTTTCCTTGGATGAGTTTATTATTTAAAAATATAACTATGTTTTTCAAAAAGTGTTACATCACCACCTTGAAAGAAGCCGGTACTGCTTGCTAGAAATAGAAGATACTAAAAATAAATATTAACAGGGCAGTTCCTGTGGCTCAGTGAGTAGGGCATAAGCCCCATATACCAAGGATGGTGGGTTCAAACCCAGCCCCGGCCAAACTGCAACAAAAAAATTGCCGGGTGTTGTGGCGGATGCCTGTAGTCCCAGCTACTTGGGAGGCTGAGGCAAGAGAATCATCTAAGCCCAGAAGTTGGAGGTTGCTGTGAGCTGTGACATGACAGCACTCTACCTAGGGCAATAAAGTGAGACTTTGTCTCTAAAAAAAAAACAAACCAAAAATAAATATTAACAAAAATATTAACATTTTAATTAATATTAAAAATATTAATATTTGTTCATGAATTGCCTAAAATCATGTCACTTGCCCCTAGTGACACATGTCACATTTTAGGAGATAGATAATGACATTCCAAGGAGTAGTTATAGCCTCAAAATTTCCATACAGGTAGCAGCAACTATCTAACTAAAACAAAGAGGGCTTAGGGGGCCTATATTGAATCTGAATTTGCTGAGCAGGGATAATATTTTAAATTTTCAAATTAGAAATTGGCAATGCCTCAGTGCCCATAACTCAGTGGTTAGGGTGCTGGCCCCATACACTGGGGATGGCGAGAACACAGACTGGGCCTGATAAAAACAACAATGACAACTTCAACAAAAAAGTAGCTGGGCTTTGTGCAGGCACCTGTAATCCCAGCTACTTGGGAGGCTGAGGAAAGAGAATCACTTAAAGACCAAAAGTTTGAGGTTGCTGTGAGCTGTGATGCCATGGCGCTCTACTGAGGGTGACATAGTGAGACTCTGTCTCAAAATAATAATAATAAAATAAAAATAAATAAAAAATAATAAAAATTGGCAACATTTTCTTTTTTTTTTTTTTTGAGATGGAGCCTCAAGCTGTCCCCCTGGGTAGAGTGCCATGGCATCACGCTCACAGCAACCTCCAACTCCTGGGCTCAAGCGAGTCTCCTGCCTCAGCCTCCCAAGCAGCTGGGACTACAGGCGCCCGCCACAACGCCTGGCCATTTTTTGGTTGCAGCCATTATTGTTGTTTGGCGGGTCCGGGCTGGGGATTTGAACCCGCCACCTTAGGTGTATGTGGCTGGCGCCTTAGCCACTTGAGCCACAGGCGCCGAGCCAGCAACATTTTCTAAAGATGCTTTTATTCACATTTTATGCAAGTCAGTATATCCATTTGTTTATTTCAAAGAGTGGCAGAAGACAAACTCGTAAAGATTATGGGTCCAGGAATGGCTGAAGCTTCCAAGACCAACCTTGGCATCCTTGCTGGAGGCAAAAAACAGATCAAAGATTGAAACAGCCTTTACTGAGCATCTCTCAGTAGCCTGGTCCAGTGTCAGACTTTTACATCATTATAATTCCTCTAGTGAGATCATTTGTACTGGTCATGTTACACGGATGGAGAAACTGAGGCTCTGAGAAAGATAGTGATAATATTCTTTAATTTATCCCACAGATATTGAACATCTGATATAGGCTCAAGTACATTTTAGGGATACAATAATGAACAAAAAAAAAGTTCATAGTTTCATGCAGTCGATACTGTATTGGGAGGACACAGACAATAAACAGATAGAATATAACAGGGGGTGATCAGGGCAATGGAGAAAAGTCCAGCAGGGTAAAAGGATAGAGTGACAGGGATTGGTATTTCAAACTGGATAGCTTCGCTGAGTGGTGATATTTGAGCAGAGGACAGAGTGACGGAAGGCAGTGAATCATGTGAACATGGGGAGGAAAGGAGATCCAAGCTGGGGGATCAGTAAATACAAAGGCCCTAGGGGCTAACATGCCTGATGTTTACAGCAAGATGCTTATATGCCTGAAGCCAAGAATATGAGGGTAAAAAAGTATGAGATAGGGTCACAGAAGTGAAAGAGGCTAGATTATAAGGAGTTATAAAGTGTACTGAGAATTTTGACCTTTACTTTGAGATGAAAGTCATGAGAGAGTTTGATGTGAGGGAATGATATTATTGTCAAAGGATTACTGACTTAGAGTATTAAAGCATCACTTTTTTTTTTTTTGAGACAGCGCCTCAAGCTAGCCCCCTGGGTAGAGTGCTGTAGCATCACAGCTCACAGCAACCTCCAATGGTAGGCCCGGGCTGGATTCGAACCCACTACCTTAGGTGTATGCGGTTGGCGCCTTAGGCACTTGAGCCCCAGGTGCCGAACCAGGATCACCTTTTTTTGTAATACAAACTATGATATCATAGGTTTGAGTCTCCCAAGTAAATGAACTATGTGAACTGGAGAATGCCACTATCTAATTGTGACCCTCAGTTTCACAAACCATAAAACGCAAGTGCAGAAATTGATTATATCTAGTGTGTAACTAAATTCAATGTCTAAATGCTGAAAATGATGTCTGTCATCCCAAGTACCTAGGACAGTGCCTGGGGACTCACTAGACGCTCTACTGCGCTCTGTAGATCTTTGCAGTTCCAGAAAAGAACAACAGGGGTCGCAACAGCCCTATAGCCTCCAGCTCAGAGTCTCCGACGCTAGGCTTAATCAGACTTTAGCAGGAACCCACTCAACTCACTCCTCCGCAGGAGAAGAATTCAGAATTTTCTGCGACGGCACTTCTGAAGGCCGAATTATGAGTCTCTTCTCTTAAAAAACTGACTTTTCACTTTGGAAAAAAGAGGCTCCGGGGTTCTTTAACTGCTAGTGGGGTCCCCCCCGCCCGCCTCGCTGCTTCCCAGAATGCGTGGCGCTATGTAAATGAGACGGTTTGGGAATTGAAAATGATTCATGCTATTCAAGACAGAGCAACATTTTGTAAGGACATTCGTCGTGATAAAGGTATGAGAAGAATTTACAACTGTCGAAATGGACCATCTTACACCTTACCAAGATACATGACCACAACTGTAAGAGGTAAGTGTTTTCAAACTTTATATAGCTTCACAGGAAGCACTGATTCTTGCCCGGATGATCCTCAGTGGTCTGGGGTGCAGGCTTCAAACCTGTAGCTGTCTAGCGACAGAGTGGTTCAATTCCACCTTTCGGGCGGCGTTCCTTTTTTCCCTCCTTCAAACCATACCTTAGTGCTCTAGTTTTCTGCGGGGCACTCCTCCAGCCACCACCTGGAGAGGTCGCTGCGGACCTGTACATCGCACTGTTTTGGTTTTTTTCTTGTTTGTTCATAAGAAGAAAGAATCAAAAAGTCCCCACATCGCAATTTATATTCTATGCCACAGGGTTTCTGCCTGTAGTTACTTTTTCCCTACCCATCCGACCCCCACCCCTGGGAAAGAAAACGTTGTCTACACAGTTCTAGGATATTTACAGTTTGGAAATCATCCTGGATTTCTTCCCTTCATTTGCTTAGTCATTCAGTCATTTGCTCACTCACTTGTTTAATCATGCAAGCACTTATTAATCAACTCCTTGCTCATTTGTTCATTGTGTCATTCACTCATTCAACAAGTATTCGCTTTCCAAACCTTGCACTGGGTGGTGCTGAGGGCACAGTGGTGATGATAACCCTGGCCCTGATCTCATGGTACACTCAGTACAGTGGGGCAGACAAACATTAAACTATCATGTAATTACACATTTGATTAACAACTATAACGGTGATAACTGCTGGGAAGAAAAGGTACAGAACATAGGCCATCTAATAAGATCTGATCTGCTGGGGTGTCAGGGGAACATTAGAGCCTTTGAAGGGTAAGAGGGGGTTAACTAGCGGAAGAGGAAAATAATCTGGGATATTTGGAGATCAGAGTGTTCCCATAATGGCAATGGGGATAATAATTGCACCCTCACTCTGAGCCTAGCACTGGCATGCACAAGTTCACTGACTCCTCACAACAGCTCCATTCAGCAGATGAGGAAACTGAGACTTAGGGAGATGTCTCTTGTCCAAGGTCACCAGCTTTGGAGACTCTCTGACCACCCAGCACATGAATTACTGCTGCCCTATACTGTCTTTCCTAAGCTAGCTTCTCACACAACCTCCTAAATGTCTCTTGCATCCTTCCCCTCCTCTCTATCCCATGGCCCTGACCGTATTCCAGGTTCTTCTTCAA